TGGGCATATCATGAGTACGTGTGTGTGTGTGTGTGTGTGTGTGTTTGTGTGTGTGTGTGTGTCGTCATGATCATTAACTGATGTAGGAAGACCAAGCTCTTTGTAGGTGACACCATTCTCTTGGGTCCTAAACAGTGTAGGAAAGGGGAAAGCTGGCTGACTGTGCGTACCTTCATCTCTCTGGAGATTAAGAGAGATTATTTTTGAGCATATGACTAGCTGCAGCAGGTTCCCGATGCTGTGACTGCTGGAGCATGGGGCTAGCTGAAGAAACCCTCTCCTTCCTCGGTTGCTCTTGTCGAGGGTGTTTGTCACAAGAATAGAAATGAAACCAGAACACGTGACCTGTGCTTTCCCCACTGACCTGTGCTTTCCCCATGCCCAGACCACTTTTTTACTAGACACCCTGTCTCTTCCTCACCTCTCATTTGCTCCTTTTCACACCCCTGAGTCCTCATTTCTGACTAGATTACAAGTCCCTTGAGGTCTATGGCCAAGTTATTTTTCTTTATTCTCTGTAGCACCTCGCACAGCTATCTACAAAGACTGACACAAAATGTAAAAGCTCTCTTCATGCAGATGATTAATCATCCTGAGAATTTTTCCAAAGGCACAGGCGAGTGCCAGGAACACATTTGCTTAAAACATGTGCTCAGTGCTGAATTGAATCCGCCTAAATGGTGCCATCTGTTCTCAGGCAATTTCAGAAACATTCAAATAGTTTTTTACCTTTAAAATGACAAGGGAATGGGCATGCCCATGAGGCATAGAGACGGAGCAGACATGGGCACATCCAGTGACACAGCACCACAGAAAGAACATTGTCTGAGGTCTGCGGACGTTTTATCTAAGAGGACACCAACAGCTACGTCATGTAGAAAATATTTATGAGACATTACAGAACTCAAGGCATGGATTCTTGCAACATATTACTGTGCTTAATTGCAGGCTCCAGAAATGCGCTTGTGTGAGAGTCTCTTGTTCTTTGCAATGGGCACATGCTCCCAGTGCTCACTACAGCCTCCGCTCGGAAGGCGGGAACAGCTGCTGAGATCCCTGTGTGATTTTTGTCACATCACCCGTTAATTGACTTCCACTTCAGTCCACAGAACTTATTGTCACGTGAACAAAACAATGAAGTGAAACCTGTGTTTAAGTTCTGCAAATAGCTTCTAGCCACTTCCAGATCACCTCAAGGCAGGGTCTATATTTGAGTTTGTGGTTTTACATGCACAGCTATTTGCTGACCCACTTCAGGAGGAAAGAGAGAGAGAGAGAGAGAGAGAGAGAGAGAGATCACAAGCTGGCGAGGTTTGGGTCTAGCTATTGTGGAAACAAGTGATGGGCCAGATTTCCAGCCTGTTTACCTGGCTCGCTGCACTGTAAGCTCCAAACTGCTGCCAGCATGTTGTCATCTGTGTACTTGGCTAGTTCATGTAAATCAACCATGGTATGTATCAAGAATTTATATCGACAGAAAGAATTTCTGATTTAAAACACATCAACGTATGTTCCTCCATCTGTATGTGCATGTATCTGCACTGAAACTCCTTGGTTAAGATCTGAATGGCTCTGAATTCATTCACATGAATATTTGTCTGGAACATTCTGTTTTTATTGACAGCACAATGCTGCTGACTTGTGCTTGCTTTCTACATCATATCAATTCCTTTTTTAGGGAAAACAAGAAGTACAGAGAATGGCAGGGCCAGTTCCTGATGTTTGCACTGTTCAGAAGTGGTAATCTGGCCCCTGAGAGAGCCCCTGTGTCCTCCGAAACCTCCCGCCAGGGCTCCACTGGCTGCATCTCTCTCACCCTTCTTGACTTCTGAGCTCCCTAGTAGTGACCCTTTAAGCTCTGACAGCATTCAAGGGCGTTTCTAGCCAGAGTTTACAGCTCTACCACTTTCCTGCCACAGACACTGGAACCTTCTCATGACTTCTCTCTAGGAAATAGTGTTTTATCACTGCGTCATGGAGATTTTGTATTTCCAGTATTACAATACATTGCTAAATTTCTTTTTAAAATATTCTTAATTTATATTCCCATCAGCAGTTTGTGAAAATTTCCATATCCTTATGTCTCTTCCAGCACTTACTTCCTTAACCTTCATTTTTGTGTTGCTGCAACCTGATAGGCATGGAATCATTTGTCTTTATAGTTCCAAGGCCTCCAGTCACTGTTCATAACTTCCACCAGGTCTTTAATGCCTGTCAAGTATTTTTCTGATTTCTCTGAGTTGTCTAGTCATCTCCCTTTGTCATTCTCCCAAGTGTTTTTACTCATTTATATTCTAAAGTAACAAGGACCACTTTGGAAGGATTATAATATGCTCATGTATTTTCTTGTCTCAGTGCCAAAGTTGTATTGTTTGTTATATATAAGCATTTAGTCCATTCTGGTATTTATTTGTTTGCACAGTGTGAAAAGTTATCCTCAGTTTATTTTGGTGTGTGTTTGAATGTGTATGCATAAGCACGTGAGTGTGTATGTGGTGAATGCATGTGTATATGTATGTATGTATATGTGCTGGTGTGCCCGCCTGTATGCGCATGTGTGTATGTATACATGCATTCATATCCAGGAGCATGTGTGGATCTAGAGGTCACCATCAGGTGCCTTCTTCTGTCATTATTCTTATATAATAATTTCTTACAATCATATTGTCTTTGTTGCCCTTCTGAATAATTATGTTTCCTCATAAATTCTTGTTAGGCTATTGAACTTAATTGATTTCACAATTTGATCTTGCAAACCCAGTGATTTTTTTTATTTTTTTTCCTCTTTGTGTGTATGTGTGTGTGTGTGTATGGTATATGTGTGTATATGTGTGAGTGCACACTGATCTGTGAGTGGGAACAAAGGATCAGGTTACCACCACAGGCTTTGGCAGGATCTGTTCTTTAACCCCACTCTACACCCCAGGTCAGCTGGCTCACTCCCCGACCGCACACCCAGGCCATCTGGATCACCCTTCCTCCCCCCACCTCCACACTGCTCACCCCAGGCCAGCTGGCTCCCTTCCCCCCACTGAACACCCAGGCCAGCTGGATCACCCCTCCTCCCCCTACCTCCACACTGCTCACCCCAGACCAGCTGGCTCCCTTCCCCCCCACTGCAAACCCCAGACCAGCTGGATCACCCCCCCCCCCC